AGCCGCGCTACTGGAGCAACCCAGCAGCACCCCAGCTGCTCTGCCCCCGGCGTCCCCAAGTCAGCCGCTGCTGAAACTGAGTTGCTCTGCCCCAGGCTTCCTGGAATCAGCTGCTGATCAGTTTCAGCAGCAGCTGACTTGGGGACGCTTGGGGTTCTTAAGTTGAATCTGTATGTGAGTCAGAACTGGTGGTCAGTTTCAGCAGTGGCTGAATCTGGAAGCCAGTTCCGACTTACATACAGATTCAACTTAAGAACAAACCTACAGTCCCTATCTTGTATGTGCTCTGCCCCAGGCTTCCTGGAATCAGCTGCTGATCAGTTTCAGCAGCAGCTGACTTGGGGACGCTTGGGGTTCTTAAGTTGAATCTGTATGTGAGTCAGAACTGGTGGTCAGTTTCAGCAGTGGCTGAATCTGGAAGCCAGTTCCGACTTACATACAGATTCAACTTAAGAACAAACCTACAGTCCCTATCTTGTATGTAACCCGGGGACTGCCTGTATAGAGTAAAAGCACACAAGACCAGACTGCATGACCTGAGGTATATTTTTCATAACCATGAATTTGGTGGGACCCTACTTATGAGCTTAAAATTAGACTATTTTTTTTAAATTGGCCTCCTATATAAAAAGTCACACCAAAATAGTTAACGTAGGGTCAGTTTTGCCCTGACATGTATTTTATGCAACTAAGATGCTTTTGTACCAAATGCTGTAAACATTTAAATATGTGCTTAACTTTTAACACGTGACTATTAAAGTAAGATTCTTTCCTTAAATTTTCAGAATTCGAGTGTAATTTTCAATTTGTTTTTTACCTATAGGTTATTAAAATTCAAATAGATGCTATCAGTGGTGTTTTAATAAACCACATTTATAATTTAGTTCATTATAAAGGTATAATTTAAAGTTGCAATAGCAAATTTCAAATTATTTTGGCAGTCTCAACCTAATTTAATTCAATAAATTAAAAAGTTTAAATGGCTACATCCTATTCATAATCCATGATCCGTGAGAAAAGGATACAAATTTCTAGGTATTTTTACTAAATCTGTTAAAATTATTTTTAAAATGAGACTTTCAAGAAGGTCCTGTCTCTGACTTCTTTTGGAAACTTTTTCTAACAAATGACTGGTTTACATATAGTTAAAACTGCTGCTACCTTCAAATGTAAATGTGAGGTCATATTGTGTCTCAGGAACATTGATAATGTCTGCCATTATTCAGTCTTTCCATATTTAAAATGTCTGCCATTTCCCATACTGTATAATAAGATTGAAAATGCTCATGCCTTCAATAAAGATGGCTACTGCTGTATGAGGGATACTAACCCCTTAGTGAAAATGGTCACTGTTGACCATTTTAATGGGATTGAAAGCACAGACTGCCCACGGGGAGAGAGCCACCCTCTTGTGCTAGGACTACTAAATAGAGACGAAATAGGTTTGCCATAAAATTGTCTCAGTTGGGACATGGTGGAAGAAGCTCCTCTGAGAGAAGCTACAAACGCTAGTGCTGTGATCTCTCAGGCCTTTAAACTTCCACATACACCTTTGTCCTTGAGCTATAGAGTAAGTGTGGCTACTGACAAGCTCCCCAATGTGGCACCATCAAAATCAGGAGTTTTGGAACAATTTTATAGTGAGGGGTGCTGAGATCCATTGACCTGAACTCCAAACTCTGAATATAATGGAAACCACTTCAAGATAAAGGGTGCTGCAGCACCCCCGTTTCCAGCACCCCTATGGTCATAGTAAAGTAAAAGAGTGTAGACCAGTTTTTCTTAAACTTTTTAAGACTGAGGAACACCAACAATTTTTGTTGGGGGGGGAGGGGGAGCGAAGCTTGCCCCTTTTAAGGACGACCATTTGAACTCTGTTCTCTCCGCATATGGTGACCATATTTTCTGAACAAAAATTAGGGACATATTACCTACACCCCCGGCCTCTGTTTACTATGCCCCTGACTCTCAGGGTCAAGATGGACACATGACCAGAAGTAAAAGTAACCCCCTCTAAGAACTTTTCCCACCATCTTCCTACCCATAGGGGATGAGATTGGCCCCCACTGAACCCTCTCTCCTCTGGTGCTTGTCTCTCCCCTGCAGGTGTCTGCCCTTCTGCTTCACCCCCAGAATCCTCTGGCACCTGCACCTTCCTTTACCCCTGCACCCTCCTGGTGCTTCCTCCTTCCCTCTCTGCCCCTGCCCCCTTGCCCTCTTTCTCCCTGATGCCCATCCCCTCACTACCCGCTGCCTCAGTTCCTCTCATACCCCTCTGTGCCCTCACACATGACTTGTTCCATCCCCACCTTCCTCATGCCCACCCCTCCTTTCAAACCTTCTCCCAGCACCTCCCCCTCCCCTTGCTTCCTCTTGCCCTCAGTGCCTTCCCCTCTCCTCTTCCAACATCACCCTGTCCCCTCTATCCTCCCACCCCCACTGACACCTCCCTGCCCTCCTCCTGCCCTTTTCCTCATTGTCTCCACTTGGCCCCCTGGCATTTGTGTCTCCTGCACCCCTGTCCCTTGGTGCCTTCCCCTTTCTTCTCCTGCCCTTTCCCCCTCCCCTCAGCACAAGCCCCTTCCTCTCCCACCCTCCTTCCCCCTAGTTCTCTCCGAGTCCCTCCCCCACCTTTTGCCTGGCAGTTTGTGGGGCTGGAGCCTGTGGTTGAGCCCCAGAAGTCCCCGCAACCCTGGCCTCAGCTGCTTCTGGGGCAGGACCCCTTGCCAGACCTGGAGCTAGGTTGCCCGCAGTGCTAATATTAGTGCTGTATTTCAGTGCCCACACTAGCTTTGGCTCCCATTAGGAGGAGCGGGGGGGAAGGAGAGAAAGACCCCACCCTCCCATATCTGGCTTGCGGAGTGCGGCAGAGCGAGCGGGTCTGTGCACTGCTGCTTCTCCCACAGCGTGGGAAGGGGCGGGTGAGAGGGCCATCCACAAAGCACACTAGCAGAGCCCAAACGTACTTCGCTCTACAGCGCTCTAGCTGAGTTCTGCGCGGTCACTGCCGAGACTCTGGTGGCAGCCCTCAGGAGCGGCTCCGCAGCTGCCTGTGGATGGAGGAGGCCAGGCTGGGAGCGCATGGCGGAGGCAATCCCGCAGCGGGAGGGAAGGGCCACGCAGTGGGGGGAGGGGCTTGCGGGACAGCGGCACATGCTGCATGGGAGCTTGGAGCTCTGGACACTGCGTGCCACTGGCTGCCCGCACAAAGCAACAAGGGAGCCGTTACATGCTGGGTGGAGGCGGGGAGTTGCTGCTGCGGTGCGCTAGCACTGGGTGTCTTTAAGTCCGGGACTGTCCCAGAAAAAAAAGGGACATATGGTCACCATATCTCCGCGGCACACGGGTGTGCCACGGAATACAGTTAAAGAAACACCAGTGTAGACACTTACCTCTCCTATACACACTTGGGTCCTCAACCTCTCCATCTCAGACATTTTCCATTCCCCTATATTACAGTGAAGTTCGATAATCAGAAATGTTATTTTAAAGTGGCTAAGGTTTGACAAAGGTGATATAACCCCACACAACCAAAAATGCAGGCAAATGTCCGGTTACACTTCCTTGCCAGTTGAAGGCAGAAGGAAGTTCCTGATGATAATGGAGAACTTTCAGTATCAGAGGAATCATGTTAGCTGTTCCTTAATGCCCAAATAACAAGTGTCCCATAACTAGGTATTCCTTACTTTGAAGAAGTTGCATCGATGAGAGAGATCACACTTGTATGAATACTTTGTTCATAGGGTTTATTTTTGATATATGCTGGCTTCCACACACTAAGCTTCAATTCTTCAGACTCTCCCCACAGAGCTCGGCCTGTGTGCCTCAACCCTATACTGAAGGTGCTAATTCAGACTATGCCATGTAAAACTTAAGACTGTTAGTAGCAGTCTGTGTAGAGAATAGATGGCTGTCTATCTGGGGATTATTGCTGCTCGCTAGAATCTCAGACAACTATCTCATTTCATAAAGTCCATAGTACCATCTTCACATGGTCACCTTTTTCAGTTACTGCTAATCTGTCAGATTTAAATCCATGATCTAGAAGTGAAAAGCTTGGTTTTAAATCCTTGATTGAGACAGTCTTCTGAAATAAGACTATATATTGTAAGCGTGATGATTTTGAACATGCTTTCTTTATTTATAAAAAACAGAAAGAAGAAGGAAAAATTCAAGGTCAGCTTAATAACTCTGACTCTAACCAGTATATTAGAGAACTGAAAGATCAGATAGCAGAGCTGAATCATGAGGTAAGTGATGAAAAAAAAGCTGTCATCTTGCTCATTTATATCTTATGTTCTAGTATCTTGTAACAGCAAAGTAGTTCTTGCTGATTATGAGTAACAATTGCAGTTAAAATGTTTTTCACTTAACATTGTAAAAATAACATTCTAATTTTAGTGAGTTTTGACCTAAACATAAGGAATCAACATTTTGTGAATCTTTTCATTAGTGCTAAAATGACCAAAACTCTAAAATATTATGTGCATGTTTTGTAAATTCTTGTGAGCTTTTAGGAAAGATTTACAATGAGCACTGGTTGACCAAGTATTGAATTGCTGCACTGCATGAGAAGCTTTTGTTAGCATTAAAATAACTTCTGCATTTGCTACACTTTTAAAGGTGAAATAAATTAAACTAAATTGCACTTGTGCTAGCATGTAGCCTGTGTGCAGGTTTGTGGTATTTACCGTTGAGAGGAAAGGTCTTTTCGTGGAAGTATTACTGAGATTGCTAAAAAAGGATGCTTGCTTAATGTCAGTTAACAGATTTCTTTGTTTTAAAAATTGCCACAACGTTGAACCGATGAAATTCCTGACAGACTTCCTTGATATCAAGATTTTAGTAATTTTCTGTTAACTATAAAGACTCTGGAGGATTTTAAACACAAGGCTTATCTAACCAAAATCCTGACTGGTAAAGTTCATTTGTTTGTCTCCTCACATTATGGAGATATGCTTGTGGCTATTCTGCATTGTGAACAGTGTTTAGGTAGTCATCTTTGCTTCTTTTAAGACTGCTTCTGTTCACTTTTCCAAATAGAGGTTTGATACAATTGATTGAAATCTTAGTTTCATTGCGATGCAGCCTGTTCAGTTATTTGCCTTTCCTGTTCCAGTGTTTTTTCTTAAATAATCACACTGCTTACTTGCCATGTTTCAATTTGTGTCCTTGTAATATGTACAAACTACTGTAGTAAACACAATCTTAAAAGGCTCAACCTTTTTAGGACCTGTCTCTTGAGGATTACAGTGTAGTAGAGAATCTTAAATTGTTGCCTCTGCTGTAGATAAAGGACTTCAGTCTCTAGGGCCATCAATGCAGCACCTTTAGTACGCTCTAAACTCACTTAAAGATAAATTTAAAAATCAATATCCTGTCATGTTACATTAAATAATTTTATTATGTTAAATGGATACACTTAACCCGCTTATGCCCTCAGTCTTCTTTAAGAGATGGTAAATTACTTCCAGAATCTTGGAACATATAAACATTTTTGCAAAATATAGTGTAACTAAGGAGCAGTGCTTCACCAGCTAAATGTGTAACTGAGACTCAACGGACTTCAGGGAAAATGGAAGAGGATCAAAAGAAGTCAGGGAACTTCAGCACAATCATTTTTGGAAAAAAAAACAATTAAGTTAAACTTCATTGTTGTCAAAAGCTAAATGGCTAAGCAAAACTTTTTGACAAAGCTATTCCACTATGGGAATGAACACTAAGGAACATTTAGTGCTTACCTCCAGGGTCCACATCAGCCAATTGATGTGCAACATGCAAGTATGCACTAGAACTTCACTCCTCTGGTGCGGACTAATAAATCATGTAGACAGGCCCTACATTTCTACCAGTAGGTGAATTGAAATGAATTTAGCTAATTAAGAGTTGATATTAATCAACAATAAATGATTTTGCATTAATCTATCATCTTTTTGCTTGCTCGGGTGTTTTTGCAGGAAAAATCTTAATGCAAGAGTGTCTTGACAAAACGATGAAGCAAAAATATGCTGGCTCAGGTCCTCATTCTTTAATCTTTCCTCTTTAGGATTAATATATTTTAGCAGATAGCTATAAAAGTATAGTAATACAACTTTGTACTGAAAAGAGATGTCCTCTTTCTGTGTGGCCCAACAGTGGCCACAAACTTTCTCCTTTAGCTAACTGATCTTTGGGTCTACTTCTCCAAAAATTGATAGAAACGTTAAGAATAAACCTGCAAATTCATCTTCCTGAAGATAAGGCAATGTTTTGTACATGATATGCTGATTGCAGCCATTCAGCTGGCTTGCATGTATTGAGTAGAATTCATGGGATCTATGTGAAGTTTCTCTTTTTTTAATGTATTATAGCTACATAACTTTAAATCAGGTGCACAAATTTAGAGCTGGCTGTAAAATGAAAGTTCTTTGCGGCTGGAAAATGTCACTAATAGGTACTCTGCAATGGATGAATCTCTGCCAATATATATCAACTGATGTTCCAGCCCAGAATGCGTAGATTGGATTCTGTGTGGAATATCGGCATGGACATAAGTATTTGTTGCTGTGTATGAGGGGGGAAAATGCTACGTTCATACAAGCATCTAAATGGAGATGTTTGCATCAGAAAATCTAGTTAAGTTCATTTTACGCAGCAGTAATTGATCTAAAACAGAGCAATTCAGTAGATCAGATTATGAAACAAATTTTGTTTTAAACTGAAGCTTATGTATCTAAATACTTTACCTGGAAGAAGTTTTGAAAGCTTTCTTTGCCCTAGAATAGCTCATTTGTACTAAAAATGGAATGTCTCACATGAGAATTAACTAAGAGACTTAGGCCTCCCATAGGACTGCTGATATGACTTACACAGAAGCTTAAGTACCTTGCTGAATGGGGGTATTGAGGCATTCCAAGTTTTGTCATATTATTACCATGTTCTACTTTTTTTGGTAGAATCCTCTTCCTTCTGTATGAGCCCCAGAACTGAATCACCATTCTAGTTTTTAATTCTTTGTCACAGGAAACCACTTAACTCAGTGGCTCTGCTTCATGGATGGATGACATGGAAAAATGGCCTGGAGGGGGAGGGGGCGTATGACTGACCCTGGCTAAAGGGGATCCACCTGAGCCTTTTGAGTCTCCCAAGCTGTTGAACCTCTCCTTCCCCACCCTCTCTTATAGTTATTCACCTCTAGCCACAAGGCACTGAACACTGGTAATAGCTGGTCCACAGAGGGCTACTTCTAAAGTGTGCTAGTTCCTCATACATTTGTATTCCTAAAAGAGGTGAGATGCTTGAGCAGGTTAGTGACTAATGTAACTAACCCTTATAAAGATTATGGAGAGTGCTCACAGCCACAGGTCTAGTGACCAGCAAGCTGCTTCTTTCTCCTGCCACTCTAGAGGCTCCTGGGAGTTGCATTGGGATTTGCCTTGGTCCTCTCTAGTGTCGCCTCATAAAATAAGGCTTCTAATAGAGCTTAAAACACCTCTAAGAATTTGTGCTGAGGTGTTCAGCTGTAAGAGCCCCACTACAGCCAGGTCTGTACTACCACTCACTTTGGTATAACCATTTATATCACTGAGAGGCATGGATAAGCCATTCCTCTGAATGATATAAGTTACTCTGACATAAGCTCTGGTATGGACAGCATTATGTCAGCAAGAGCGCTGCTCCTGCCAGCATAGCTACCACTTCTTGCAGAGATGTTAATACGTTTGAGAGAGATTTCTTCATAGTGCATTTTCACCTGCAGTAGAACTGTAGCACTTCTTGTGCAGACAAGCCTAGAAGTACAGTTTCAGTTGGGTTCAGAATTGGAACAGATGACACTCAGGATTTGGGGAGCTATCATACTCTTGCTAAGAGAGAAGGTTTTCAACAGAATGCACAAAGAACATCAGCTGCCTGAATTGAGTCATCAGGAACAGAGAGCAGACAACAGGAATGCAGAGGATTCCTTCAACTGGCAGAGGCCAAGTGAGACTTTTCTCTGTAGGGGACAGAAGAAACAACTCTACATTACAGCAATCTGTCAATGGTAAGTTCAACACATAAATGCATTGATTCAACTATTACAACCTTTTCCAAGCAAATGAGAATGGAACAATAGGGCTTTCTGCAGGAACAAAAGCTTTGGATCTTTTCTGTTCTAGGTGTAGGAAGGAAAAGACTTGAAAGACACATCCCTTCTCATACAACTACTCTGTCTGATGTATTCCTTGCCTTCTGTTCTTCCTCTTGATGATTCTGGCAAGAAGATAAGATTGGGCAGGGCTGGGGTGAACTTGATAGCTTCCTTAAACTTTCTGGCCCTGGGTCCCTTGACTCCAAGAGTTGTCTCCCCTTTTAGGAACTACTTGTTTTGGAAGGAGGGTACGTTTAGACTACATGTTTCTGGAGTTCTACACTCAAGTTCCAAGCTTTTAGCTGGATCTTGGCATTTCATTGGACCTTGCATCAGAACTCTGGGTACGTCTAGACTACATGCCTCTGTCGCCAGAGGCATGTAGATTGCCACTTCATTTTACTATGTCTGGTAGCCTAATTTAAATAATTGCCACTTCATTTAAATTTACATGGCTGCCGCGCTGAGCCGACAAACAGCTGATCAGCTGTTTGTCGGCTCAGCGCGGCAGCCATGTAAATTTAAATGAAGTGGCAATTATTTAAATTAGGCTACCAGACATAGTAAAATGAAGTGGCAATCTACATGCCTCTGGCGACAGAGGCATGTAGTCTAGACGTACCCAGAGTTCTGATGCAAGGTCCAATGAAATGCCAAGATCCAGCTAAAAGCTTGGAACTTGAGTGTAGAACTCCAGAAAGTTTGAAAATTCTGATGACCTGCTGGATTTCTTCGTTTAGCCAGAGAAGACTTCAAGTTTATGATTGGCTCTCTAAAGATTTTAGGCACTGGAAACCTGGTAAAATGTAAGCCCTAAATCCTACTTTAAATTTTTGTTTTCTGTATTTATCAAAGGACTGAGCCTCTACCCCTCGATTCAAAGTTGCTGTCCTGGGGGAGTTCTAAGAGGTGCATATCTAGCATCTTTTTTTCTTGCATTACCAGTTTCCCAAAGGCAATTTCCAAACTTTATCATTCTGTTAAGATGCCTGTTGGTAACTGAAAGTTTTAACTTTTAGTCATGGATCACCTTCAGAACCAAACCTTTACATTAATGGTTAATTTAAGTATTATCACCGTAATACTTTTTTAATGCTATGACTGCCCGATGAGTTATTGAACTAAATGTCTTGTCCATTAAAAAGCCCTTCCTACAGTCTGTCTCCCCCAAGATATTCAGAATTACTGTGGTATTGCCCACATCTTAACTAGAACAAAATTTCTTCCTTTTGTGATTTCTTGAGGATGAGGTGATTTAAGGCAAGTGGCATCGTCTAGAAATGTGATAATCTTCAAATTCAGCTTGATTAGGTTATGTCCTTTAGAAAATGTATATGCTTTTTGTTGCTTATGGTGGTTAAAAAAACTAAGGGGTTATCTGCAACTCTTGAAATCCTCTCCAAAAGGTTCACATCTGCTGAAGATATTTAGTAGAGGCTGGAAAACCTCTAGTTGTGAGTTCACACAACAAAATCTGTCTACCTCTCAAGCAGAAATATAGCTTCCAACGCAGAGATGTGCAAAGCATTCAACAGGCAATCTACATACCATTCCTAGAGCCTAACAGCTTGTTGTGACATCTTGAAATACTACATTTGTTTACCCAGTTCTACAGTCTTCCATTTCCCCTTATCTGCTGCCTTATTTTTCTTTGCTCTTCTCTCTACTGTCTTCTTTAGGAGGACTGTTTTGAAGAAGTAAATAGTCTCTCTAGACCAGAAGATTTAATGACATTTGAGAATGGATTGTTTGAAATTACTGCACATAAATCTTTTAACTGTTCTTTTTCTAGAGCTCAAAACATAAGTGTCTTGACTGAGGCTGTGATGCAGTTCCAAGGCTGGCCTTAGTGATGCTGAGTTTCACTTGCTTTTGAAACTTAGGTGGGCATAGTAACCAAAAGTTCACAAACTATCTCTGGTCTAGACTGAAAAGATTTATTTGCGGTAAATTCAAATTGTCTGTCCTCCCCTGTTGCTGAGTAAAACACCCCCACATTCAGGAAATTGCCAGCATGCATAGGAAATGTGTACACATTACTGTTAAATGCATGAGGTAAATATACTCAAAGTTTATGCCTCTTTCTCTAGTCTTTCAAATGCAGTAAAGTTATTTTAAAAATCACTTCTCAGTTTTTATAAGCTGCCAATCTCCCTGTGTTTCCTCTTAGTAACCAATAGTCTTCACCTTGTGCTCTAAAATAATTTGGCTTCTTCAGTTGGAAGCCTTCAACATTTTACGAAGGCAAACTAGAGACCAGGAGTACAAGAGCACTAGAGACAAAGTCAGTATTATGACTTGTCTATGCCCTACTCTCTCACCAAAAAAATCTACGCATGCGCTGTTTTTTTCTCAGCGCCAACTCCATAAAGGTTGCACTTCTCTAAACCGGGACTCTCTTGTCCAGCAACATCTGTGTCCAGCAAGACCACAGATGTTCCTGGATGAGAGAGCCCCAGAACAGCAGCTGAAAGCCTGGCCAGTCTGATGGCAGCAAGGCCGCAGCAGCCTAGGCAGCATTGGGACCAGGGCAGCCCAGGTGGCGGCAGAGTGTGATCAGGGCTGCCTAGCAGAGGGGCTGGAGCCATGGCCACGGCAGCCCAGGAGGGGAAGCTTTGCTGGGGTAGCAGCAGCCCAGGTGGCGGCAGCAGTACAATTGGGACTGCGTGCCACTTGGCAGTGGAGCTGGGGCTGCAGCAGCCCAGTCAGGGCCGTGTGCCACCTGGCCAGAAGTAGGGCTGGCGTTGACCAGCAGGCACTTCAGCCAGGCCGAAGGAGAGGGCAGTGGGGGCTGAGAGCCGGTGTAAGACCTCCACTGATCTGGCAAATTCTCTCATCTGGGACACCTCAGGCCCCAAGAGTGCTGGATCAGGGAGGTTCAACCTGCAGTTGAAAATTGTACAATACTGTTAATTATAATAAAAAGGTTGGATATATGTTGAAATTTCCATTAAATTCTTTCACAGCAACTAACATTTTATTACTTAAACTGAGTTCACTAATATAGAAATCATTTACCAATCTGTAATGTAAAAAAGCTTCCTTCATGAATTACTTTGATATTTACAGTAAAAACATATTGCCAACTATTGACTTTGTGAATGAAAGCTATCCCCCTAAACTCCAGCAACACAGACTGTGATTATTCTGTACAACAGAATCCCAGGAAGGGTCACTGACTTTTTTTCTACTATCCAAAGCAAAGACTTTCTGCCTTCCACTTTTAAAATACTTTAAAATTGCTTGGAACACTGACAGTGAAAAACATCTGAATTTACATTGTCCGATGACAGTGGGTGCGATTCTTCTATCCTTGCGGAGCAGATCACTTCAATGGTCGCCTAATTTGACCACTTTTCTCAAAGATTTGAAGGTTTGGAGAGTGTAAAAAATCTGGAGGCATTTTGGACTTTATCACTTTCCTGTCAGACTGGAATTTTGAACCAAGCTTTCTTTAGAGCTGTAAGTATCCCTTGATAAGTATCCCCTTGATTTAACTAATAGATATCACTCTTTACCAATATGCCATTTTTCTTCTCTTGATCCAAGCCACTTCTCTCTGCAAAAAGCTTCCATTTTCTTTGTTCTCAGAGCTCTCTCTACAGAAGTTCCAACTTCTGCTAGCTTAGTGGGTGATAAACATAATATTCTAGCCTTGGACTTTTTTGTGGTGTGTTGTATGACCCTACTGTGCTACAATGTACAAAATAAACTTTTGTTCACCTGGCTGTAGTGGGGGAGGGGAAACACACACAGGTCTGACTCCCCTTTCCTGCCTCCCAAAAAGAAATGACGTAAGTAATGTGCTTCTGAACTCCAGCAACACACGCCATGTTAGGTTACGCTATTTCTGGCAATGTATTTTGAAAGGCACCAGTACCCTAACAATGAAATGTGTCTAATCTCTTAAAATTCATTTTCAGATTAATCCTCTCTTCTCTTACAGAACTCTGGATAGGACTTTATGTAGTTTTGAGGGAACATAGGGGATGGATATCATGTAAGCCATAGGGCCATTTGGAAGCTACCCTTTGACTCAGTAGGGTCCGTAATAGTGCAGTAGGTAGAAACTAAGATTAGAATACTTGGCCACCCTGACTTGCAGTGGGCTGACACTAAGATTATGGCATGTGAATGCAACATTTGCAAATATGTTCACAAATCAAGAGGAAATCCTGATATTAGTGGCTGTTGCTTTCTTTGGCGCCTTGTACTTTAATAGTTCATTTATTGAGAAATGATGCATGAAAAGAGTGGGCTAGTATAGGTTTTTCTGAGCAACTTTAGTAAAATTGAGGGTTTAAGGAAAACCAGCAGAGTAAATGTCTAGACCTGGATGCTGTCCTCCAGTCTCTCATAAAATACCTATGGACTATACTGTGTACACTTTGGCCAGTGTTTCAATGATTCTTGCTACCCCTTGTTCACTCTGAATTCAAACTGAATGGAATTAAATGATTTATAAACTACCTAACTCCTGAGTGTATGTTATGCACGGTCTCAGTATACTCAGTCACTTTGTATGTATTACACAGCAGCTGTGTCTGCTTCCTGTTGGATGTTGCAAGGCTTAAATGTGTTACCTAGATTACAGGAGTGGTACGAAAGATTAGCATTGACATGCGTGCCCGCAAACTACACTGACAGACCACAAGATACCTTTGGAGACAGAAGCAAGCTTTAAGAATAGTGGTTTCTAGTCTTACAGGTTTTGTGATTTAGGACTGAACGGCTTAAAACTTGTGTGAAATTAACTAAAAATATTGCAAAAGGAATTTTATACTAATGGAGTGGAACAAGTGCTTTATTTTGCTGTTTTAATGAATGCAATCTCTTACATAGTAGAAAATGCCAGCATTTGTGTACACTAATGTGGTAACTTAAATGGATCAGTTTGTTTTATTCTTATATCTATGTTTACACTGAGGCAAATTATGCCTGGCCTGTATGCAAGCCTGCATGGCTAAGCCAGGGAGAATTGCTGTCCCTACTCCTTGATGGGTGCATAATGTTCCAGAGAGCTTGATCATGCCCTGCACCTACATAGGTCTACAAAATTTGCTGGCTGCATGGGGTGTACTAAGCAGTACTATATAAAGGAAAGTGGCAGTAGGCGTGATGTGGCTGCATGTCTGCACCTCCCCCACACATTACCTACAATGTAGAAATGAGTGGTAGGCTTTTTAGAATGCTATGCAAAAATGCATGTATGCAGATGCTTACACAGTAAGAATAATGGGGACACTGTGGTCTTGCTGTCAAGGCAATATTCTAAATTCCTGTCAGTCATGTAGTTCTTTTAACCTATATGCCAAACAAATTTTAATTTAGAAGACCGTTAAAGACCCTCTAATCCAGCTTCACTTCATAACTCCAGGATTTCAATGAAGACAGCTAGAAATTTTACATCTGCTGTAGTTGATGGTGAACATTACTATTGGAAACAACTTTTCAAAGACAATTTCTTACAAAACAAAACACACTTCCTTAGGCTGGTGGATATCCAATATTTATTCTTAAGTGGAGAGAAGTTTAATACCATTTGCTGAAATGAGTTTGGTTATTTTTACTTATAAGAAGATTTTTGCACCTTTTCTAAAGGTATATTTTTAAAGCTTATATCCCCAGTTCATTTCAGTGCAGTTGTATTTTTGGAAGCAGGAAGTCACTTGACAGCCGTAACCTTGTAAGTAGAAAAAGTGTGTGTCTTGTGTTGAGGCAACTTTTGGATTTTTATTCCTAGGCTAAGAAATATGCCCAGATTGAAGACTTTGTAGCTCCTATATTTTGTAGGAGCACAGAAGAGCAGCTAGAGATAAATCCATCATCTTAAAATTGAATGAACTATTTTTTGGAAATGTTGAAGTTAGAGATTTTCTGTCCTGGGCAGTCCTATGAAAAACAAAACAATGAGCAAATGAATGTAACTTCTCAAAGCAAATATTAACTGTCAAAGTACTAGAGGGTGCAACTGAAAAAAGGTACAGGTTTTGAAACATGTTGGTTGGTTCCTTGAGATGACGTTTTTTCTGTTCCACACATTTGTTCCAATTATTGTGTGAGCATTCTCTGCAAACAGCATGTGGTCCACAAGAATGGAGAATTACTTACCACCTCACTTTGTCTAGCCCCATATTAGTAAAACTTGTCAAGGTCCAAAGTGAATAGTTTTTAATGCTACTCTGTTGGCACCAATTGGAATATACTGTACCTCACATTAGCAATGGGCAACCTAGGCTAGTGACTGGGATGCAAGATTGTGGTGACAAAGATGGCCTCCCAATGGCACTTGCCTACCTAGAATTTGTAGGGTGACAGTTGAACCATAGCAGCACTTTGGTTGGATGCAGAGGGAGGACATGGATCTCAGTCAATATTGTGTGCAATCAGCATGCACTTAATGTGTCTCTTGCTTTGTGACTTTCACTTTAGTAATACTGGTAGGAAAAAAACTATGCCGAAAGAAACAAGCGGGATCTGGCAACCCTGTGTGTGGACAGTGGTAAACAAAATTTCTCATGAGCTACATGTAGAATCCTGATGGGCTGCATGAGGCTGCATGAGGCCTCATGTTGTTCACCTCTGCCCTACATCCTCCCTGCAAAAATAAGTCCTGGGAGGAAGAACCAAGGGTGAGAGCTCTTGTTTTTAGCTCTTCAAAGTCCTCAACCCGTTCTAAAGTGGTTCTCATAAAAATGGAAGTCATGCTGTTTGTGCCATCCTGTTCCAAACTGTTGGAAATATATACTCACTAGCAACACTTATGTACAGAACCATGGAAAAGGAGTAACATAAGACAAACCATGGGAAGGAAAATAGCTCAGGTTGTTAATTCTGTCCAATAATAGAGCAAATGTTCCATACTTCATCTATGCTGGTTCTTTCATTGGAAATGAAAGAACATAGGCAAGAAAACATTTAGAAGTGAGTATGAAATCAAATACTCTTCTCAGCAGAAACTAAGTGGGGTAATTTAATTTTAAGTCTTTCTAACTGAAAGATAAATCAGAATGGAAGGTTTTTTTATTATAAAAAAAGCTTTCAGGAAAAAATGATGCAACAGTTAGAACATTGTTCCCCTAATCAGCCTTGAATAGACTGTCTTAGTGAGCTCTTAGAAAATAACTTGGGAAAATAATTTTTGAGGGAGGCTAATTGTACCCTAAATCCTGGCATAGTCATATGAAGCAGGTGGAAAAATAGTTAAAATATTTCTCATTTTCAGTATCTGAAAAATGTATCTTTTTTTGGAGAAGGTAGTGATCCTTCAGCTTGTTCTTTCTACTGCCACCTGCATGCATTTGATCCTAAAACTGATTTGATGATATATTCTAAGAACCTAATGCAACCAGTAACATTCTGATACAGGGATTATCTCTTGGTTAGATCATGTTCCTTGTGATCTAACACTTTTAAGATTGGCTTAATGAAAACAGACATAAAATTTGGAGATTAAATACAATGCTTTTAGAGAATTCTGCTTGTGTAAATAAAATTCCAGATCCTTAAGTAATTACTTCGAGGGATAAATAATGCATAGGATATCACCAAAGGAGTAATTTGGAGTGTGTGTAAAGCTGTGGATAAGAGGTCATCCTGTAACTTTTAGTTTCAGGAATGGAAACCTGGAGAACCTAATCAAAGATGCAATGAAGGAAAATTAAACTAAACATCAACGTAAAGGATTAAAGAAACTGTGTATTGGTGCATTGCACAGATAAAATTGAAACGTAATAGCCTCTGTGTTACAAGAGATTATACTCAATCTTATGGCTCTGGCCTTGAAGTCTGAATCTATACTGGTTTCAGAGGGGTATCTTCAAAAATAATGAGGAGTCCCATGGCACCTTCAAGACTAAACAGATTTATTTGGGCATAAGTTTTCGTGGGTAAAAACTACATCAAGACGCATGGATCTGATGAAGTGGTTTTAACTCACGAAAAGTTTATGCCCAAATAAATCTGTTTAGCTTTTATGGTACCACAGGACTCTGTTGTTTAATTATTATCTAATGAATGTTACAAGTAAACTGCACACACTTTGAATTATTTTTTTAAAAGTATGAAGCTTTGAATATCTACTACTTTGAAAAGTGACAACCTCATCCTGTTAGAAATAAGGTTTTAGCTTTTGCTATTCTCAGAGTATTATTTGCCTGTATTTCTTGGCTTGCAGATAGATCAAGCAATGCAGGCAGTCACTTTTGGGATAGTATTGGATTTGGTTTATCTATGATATTTAGGTACCCTGGAGACAAAAGCCCAAGACACTGGCCTTGCAGCCGGTCTAGAGAGTATAATCAATCTGAAAGGTTATCCCACAGTAAGTTCTCAGTTTATGTACATTGTACGTGTCAGCCTAGATCCGGTGTGGGCAATAATTTTTGACCAGAGGCCACTTCAGAAATTTTTGAAGTGAACTTGGGCTGCCCTGGAAGGGGCAGAGCCAAAACACTTCCATGCTTCCCTGCCCACAGGCCCTGATGGTCTGTCGGTGGGAGAATGCGTGAAGTCTTTACCCCAGCCCCTCGAGAGAACTGCTAGCTGTTCTGAAAAGCTGGTGGTTCACTCTAGGCACCCGTGCCCCTGGCTATCAGGGCCATGGGGCAGTGGGAGCACGCAAAATCTACCCCCGCCCTACAAGGGAGCACCACGTTTTGTCACCCACCAGCTGAGCAGCAGCTGCCAGTTGACTAAGTGCTGAGCCCCTTGCAGGGCTGGGGGCAGGGAGAAGCCTGCGAAGTCTCTTCTCGTCTCTGTCCTGCAAGGAGTGTGCGGTGCTTAGAAGCATCGCATGCTCCTTGCAGGGCAGGAGGGACTTTGCGGGCTTCTCTCACCCGGATTGGCCTGGGGGAGAGGGGAAACATACAAAGTCTCCTGCTTCCTGCCCTCCAGTGCACGGTGCTTAGTCAATCCTGGCGGTTGATTCTAAATGCTGCGCACTCCCCTGTCCATAGTCCCTGATTGGCCTGGGGGTGGGGGAGCAGCAGGACCTTTGCAGGCCAGATCAACCCTGCCCTAGATGATCTGACTCATTGATTGAATCTCCATTCCTATTGAAGATTACTTTTAGGAGTGCTATTTGCCTTGTATATCATACAAGGTTGGTTGTGGTTGTAGGCACTCTGGAACGTGTGCAGTAGACGTATATTTTGTCTGTCTTGCATGTATTCTCCTGGCAGTTCTAGTTTGCCATTATCACCATAATCATTATCAGCCCCTCATTAGACATGACACTGGTCCAGTTCTTTTCAATGCCTTTATTTCAAGTAAGCTGTAAATTTGCACCTTCTATTATAGTATATAAGTTTGGACAGCTACCATATTTTTATTAATGCTTAAGATTCTTATTAATGTTTCTAAACAAAGCAAAGTAAAATTTGTTTGCATTAAGTATTAACCTTCTAAATATAATGTAATGTTCATTGTTTGAATTTGTTTACTATAGATGAATGCTTTCAAAATAAGTGGTTGCATTTAAATGTTTTTCTACTTGATAACAAGTGCTGTCGCTAAAAGGAAATATGTTGGCCCTCAGATTTACAAAGAGTAAGCATTTCAACTTGTGGTTGAAGTTTATAGTGCAATAAATCATGTGCTTTTCTTGTACCATATCTTGCAAACACAGTAGGACAAGAGACCATCAGATTTGCCCTCCCACAAGCAGAACTCTTGCAAGGTTGCTGGCCAGCTAAAAATGCTGTTGCTTTACTATAACATGTCAAAGATAGAGCCTCTATGCTGGCGGAGTCTGATTTAAGTGGTTGTGGTCAGTCTGAGGAACCTGTGATGTGATAAGATAGCATTCGTGAGGTCATGTGGTTTGTAAGCACCCAATCTAACACTGCAGCTTTGTCTACCATGTGTGTGTGTATAATATAAAAAATATGTTTATAAAGTTGAGTTTATCTGGTAACTGTGCTCTTTAGTTGTACATCCTCAAATAGGGACATTTTACAAACTAGATAAGTATAAAGATGGTTACCAAGTTGAAGGTGTAAATGGAGATCAGTGCCATTCTCAAAACCATAAACTAAAGATGAAGAAGGAGCATTACATCTCTAACCCTTTTACTTGGCCCTTGCTGAAATATATTTTGAGGCTGGGAATTTTAGCATCTGTCTGGGTTTGATGTTACCAGATAATAAAGGTAAAATCATTACTGCAGAACTAAGACATTGTATTTATAAAAGTTAATGGTCTTAATTGTCCCCATAACTACTACAAATTGGCATCCAGGGATTACTTAGCAGAATACCTAACTCTGGTCACAGAGTCTGTCTTAGAATCATACTCCTGAGTTTAATACTTTTGAACAAAAAATACCTTCCGTCACTCGTGGTTGAAGAAAAACCTTAAAATACAAGCAGTATAAACTGATGTGATGTGTTCTCTTCCTGAGTGTTTCAGGCTGTCTGCAGAATGTACTGAGCATTATGGACTGCTCTGTTAATCTCAATGGCAATTTCAGATTGGCTTTAGCAGTAAAACAGAAGCTACTGTGCTTGTTTTTATTTTTAGAAACCTCTATTTTTTAACTGTGAAATGACATTTCCACAGAATTTTCAATCTACCACATCTGAGATCTGAGGAACTTGCAGGGGAGTTCATTAGCCCTTGGACATTAGTTTTGATAGTCCTAAATAGCCATCTTAGCAGGTCAAAACACCTCCGTTCTTGTCATATTGCAACTCACCCTGCATCCTAGATACGAAGTGCATGCAGAAAAGAACATGCTGTATATTTCCGCATCCCTCTTTACTAAGATTGTCCTGTGTTTATATAATATGAAATTTTTTTAAAAACCATCCAACTGGGTTCTCATCAATTTAACATAAAGCTGTTTATTGAATGAGTAAAGAAAAGTGCTGAGGAATTGCCATGATTATATAGGTTGTGGAATATTTTCTGGTAAACCCTTTTTGGCACACGTTGCTTTTAAAAAATTAATCTTGTTCCATTTAACATCAGTTTTCCTCATAAATGTCCTCTAAAGCGGAGATAGGGGTGCTGTAGCTTAAGAACAATATTCCATTTTTTCATAAAGCCTTTATCAGCCAAGATTGACATTTCGCAAAAATGACAATGTTTTTCTTCACTGGTTTGGGTTGTTTTTTTGATATGGTTTTCAGAATGAACAGCCACAGATGCAGAAATCTTTTTGGTAGAGTGCACTGTTAAGTAAGTATAGACAAAACCAGTATAGACAGAACCAGTGCACTCTTCCAAATAGCACTCTCATTTTCCTCCTCCTTCAGAAAGCTGTGTCTTGATTTTAGTTTCCCATCCACCCCACCAAGGGCCAGTGAGAGTGTGTGAGAGCTGCAGCTCAAATTCCAACATCACTGTTCAGGTCTTCCTAACTTGATCCTTCAGCAGGTGTTGATAGGGCTCGCTTCATATCTTTGTAAAGTACTGACACAACTTGTGAAGTATACTATCTGTGGTGGCTATACACCTAGCTCGGATTTGGGCTCATGGGTTCCTATCGTTCCTCCCCATCTGAAACAAAAGAGGCTACATCTAGACTGCAGGCTTCTTGCGCAAGAAGCTTTTATCAAAAGAGTTCTTCCCCAAAAACTTCTTGCATAAGAACACGTCCACACGGCAAAAGCGCAGCGAAAAAGCGATATGCTTTTGCGAAAGAGAGCGTCCAGACTGCATGGACGCTCTCTCGAAAGTAAGCTATGATTGCCGTGCACAGAATGGCCACCAGGGCACCTGTGCTTTTTCTTCTTTCCTCTTTTTGTGCAAAAAAAACCCCTTTTCCCCATCCACACACACCTGTTTGCAAGAGCTTGCTGGAAAAAACCCTCTGTTCTTCCAATTTTTGTTGTGCAAAAATGCACTTGAGGCATGGACGTTCCATGAGGTTTTTTTCCAGAAAAACGGCTGTTTTTACAAAAAAACTCTAGTGTAGACCTAGCCTGAGAGTGGGGAAATATTGAAGGCGAGTTATGGTTTTTCCAATATGGAAAAAAATAAGCAAGACAATCCTAGCATGATATAAACAGGTGGGATTAAAAATATACAATACAAATAGGTGGGATTAAAAATATTGTAGACTTCCTTGAATATCACCGATTATTCTTTGTACCCAAGGTGGACTTTTTGGTATCCATGGAAATCATAGGCCATCTCTATTGATTTTTGTTTTATTTTGCAGGAAGGAAATGGGGAATCTGTTTCATCTCTGTTGATGAAATGTGTGCCCAAAGTCAAAGGTGTTAATGCTGTACAGCAATAGGGACACATTAACAGTCTTAAGCAAATCCAGGATTCAAAGTACAGTTACTTCAGCCTGCTTAGCACCATGACAAACAAGTGCGGAAATGTCAAGGTTAGAATACACAAGGCAAAATCACTGAAACTGAAGTTGAGTGAGATTTAATTGACAATCCCTCGTTGTAAAAAGTGAAGATTGGTCAGTCTCTAATTCAATCAAAAAGTCCTTGGTGGGGAAGAGAGGATTTGTTCGGCTCAGTTTTAAGTTGGGAATGATTAATTTCCTACTTCCTCTTTTCCTTCTTTTGGTGTTTGAATTCACACTGAATTCAAACACCAAATAAGGAAAAGAGGAAGTAGGAAATTAATGCTGGTTTGAAATATTAATTAATGATGGTTTGAAATATTTTTGTTGCCATTTCCTTACTCTCAATAAACATTTGCATTAGAACCTCTAGTAGGAAAAGATTCTAGGATTTTTCCTTTCATCTGCTCACTAGTTATTTATAGCACCTTCCCAGAGCTAGACCAGCTGAAAACTTTTCAAAAATCCTTGTTTTGTTACAAATTTTCCAGATTTTAGGGAAATAACTTTAATGAACTTACTTTGGTTTGAAATGACCAATACTCTTATGAATAGGGACAGTTTGAAAGTAAAGTATATTCTTCCTCAGTGATTTTTTTTTTTTACTATTTTCAATCACATTTGCTATAGAATTTCAAAGTTTAATTGGATTACATAGCAATGGCTCAAAACTATAGTTTTCAGCCTTAAAGTGTAGTGATCAAGAAGTCATGACCTCCCATTGATCGCTTTATTGGTTTCCTGTTCTGATTCACTGGAAACCTTCTGGTCTGAACATTTGTCACTAGTTTTAATCTTTGTCACGTTTACAATACAGCAGCCTAGGCTTTGGTAAAGCTGATAGAGAGCACATAGTTAGCATCTTGTTTCCTTTTGGCTCTTGAGCCCTTGATAACTGATAAAGCTGTAAAACCACTTTCTATAAAAAAAAATCACATATTCATATTTGTAAAAACAAATGCAGAACAATCTGAAATATAAAACTAGACAGCAACTGGAGATGAGATTTTTAGTACATTAAATCTTACATAGTGTCATGGTTGTAATTAATTTACAAACAATTGCAAGATTCCTGTTACCTGTATAGCCACTGGAAAGCACTCTTTATTGCAAGCCTGGATAGGATTTCCAGAACCTGAGAATACAAAATGAAAAGGCAAAATGTTCTAAATAGGTGCTATAAAAATAAGCCTGAAATGACTCAATCTTGGAAACTTGTTGCTACTGTTTTGCTGTTCGCTTATGACGCATTGCTATGGTTTGAACTCTGTCTAGTGATATGGTCAGCAAAGTTGGTTTTGCTTGAGCATTTGTATGTTGCTGTTAACGTGTATTTGTTTCAAATTAATAGTTTAGAAAAGAAAATTACTTAGATCATCCTTCATCAGGTGAGAATTGGGCGGTTAGCAATTGTCACACTGGTGATCACAAGACTAAGGGCGTAGCTGCATATCTTTGCCATTCATCGTGATTGCAGTTCCATTTTCACTGTTGTTCTTTTCACTCCCACTGTTCACAAGTAAACTGAAATGATCTCAATCCAGAGCATCTTTGCATTTTTAAAGAGAACCGGTCATAGTGATATGAAGTGGAATGTGGAAGTAGTACACAGGCTCCAGCTGCTACAGGATGCCTGCTGTTTCTGTATTATGGGCTTGCTGTGTTCGTGACAACCATTAAGTTTGTTGCCATGTCAGTTGCTGTTGTCCTAACTGCCAAAGCATGTATTGGATCAAGCTCTGGGCACACGAAAAACTACATTTCATTCTATAAACCAGCAAGTTCAGCATGACCATGGGAGTGCAAGGAACAAAATATTCTTTGTCAAGAGGATCTGGTTATGGGACAAACTTCCAGAAGGAATTAAAGAAATCCAGAGTCTGCCCACCATCAGGAAATGCTAACTGCTTCTTCTTTGGTGGGGAAACTTTCTGTGATAATGAGAGAGAGGGGCAGAGAACTTTTCTACTCCATAAATCATTTTATACCCCCCAAAAGGATGAACAGCCACGCAGCCTGAAGCCCTCTAGAGCAGTGGTCACTAACCAGTAGATCAGGATCTACCGGTAGATCTTGGAGCCTCTGACAGGTGATCCTGACTGGTTTGGCTGGGAGACTATCAAGTGCTGTTACTTCAGATGCCCCTCCCCCCACTGCCCAGCAGCTTCTGCCCAGAGCAGGGATTGGCAAAGGGGTCTCCCAGAGCAGGAGTGGGTACTAAGCGGGTTGATCTGGCCCACGAAGGCCCTGCCGCTCCCCCCGCCCCCAGGCCAATTAAGGCTTGGGGGCAGGAGGAAGCGCACAAAGCCTCCTTCACCCTACAAGGAGTACATGGCACTTCTAAGTGCTGCGCACTCCTCACAGGGTGGGAGTAAGGCGGAGGAAACTTTGTGTGCTCCCCCTGTCCCTAGGCCAATCAGCAATCCTCCCAGGCTGCTGGGGCTAGAACTCCCTTCCATGTAGCACACCCTCCTCCCCAACAATCGACTTCCAGCTGAGTTGCCGGTCCCTCCTACCGTGCTCCTGCTCCATCGCCAGACCTTCCTGTTCCTGGGCTCTGGTCCAGGGGGGAGTCCAGTTAAGGGAGGTACAGTCTGTAGTATATAACTGTCTATACTTCTCATTCATGAAGCTTGGTGCCCAGTTGTTTAGCCAGTTTTATTTACTAAATATCTCTTAAAACGAATGTTCATTGTTTTTAGAAATGTTTGTCACTGAGTATCTCATTCATGGTGGATGATGCTTGGTTCTCAGGCCAACAATACTGGACTTGAATTCCAATTAACTGTTTAAATATACTAATTTGGGTCTGGCTGCAGTCTTTAAACAACTTGGTTCTGGCCACAATAGCCAGTTAAACAGCCAGCTAGGCTAATATTCAAATATTATTGCTGAATTCTATTTAAAGGCCAGTATAAAAACAGTCAATAGGAGCTTCCATTTTACTGCTAGATGAGACTTACTCCTTCTGTTAGGGAGTAAGTTTTTAAGACAAAACAATGCAGTTCAGCATTTTAATGCTAACCAAAAAGTGTCATTTATGCTTTTGCTGTATTCTTATAACACTGTTTAGTGCTGTGTTAATCACTGTTAACCCCAAGTTTTGAAAGTCTCTTGCACAGCATGTGTGTATGATCAGGGAGTTTCCTGTCTTTAACCTACAATACCTATCTATTAGATTGTCACAGCAGCAGCTTCTATTTTGTTTATTTGCTTTTAGACACAGTGACTCATTCTACACTTTAATTAATTAGATACTGTGATTAAAATTTTGGTATTGCATTGCAACTTTCCCTTCTTAAAAAGCTACAGCAGGTCATCATGGTGTCAGCTATAGATAATCTCATAGCTAGAACCTGAACATATGCTAGGGAAGAAAATGTAATGCCTCGGAATATAAATGTATATAAAATGAAATGGGATGAAGTGACCCTTTTTGTTTTTTGATTAATTACTGAATGGAAAATGATTTTGTGTGGTTTTTTTTTTTTTTTTACTGTTCAATTATGAGATGTCATGGCTACCTCAATTTCCCCAAATATTTTACTTGTTTTGTCTTTTGTGTTTTTTTGTTTTTGGTGCAGTACAAATAGCAGGTCTTCACTTCCCTTCTTTTACTCCACATCTCCTCCCGCATCAACTGACAGCTGGGAAAATTGTCAGTTGTAGCTGTTTGTTACCACTATCTCTTTTCAGTTCTCCAGCCGTATGCAGAGAATTCTATCCAGATTACTAATGTTTGTATAAAACAATTTGTTTTAAATTTTTGGACAGGAATTAGAGGGTGTTCAGATCTGAGCAGGAAGTAGTGAAGGACAGAGTATATGGAGCAACCACACAACTGTACTCCCTAGTTAAAGGTGTAACAGTTTGTATTGTAAGCTCAGTTTTGGTCCTTGCTATAAAAATCATCATATCATCCCTAGTTAGCTAAATCTTGGGCTAAAAGATTTTTGGTAGAAAATTTGGAGTGACTCAAAATTGTTCCTTAACATCCTAACATTAGAGGGATGTGTGTGCGTGTGTGTGTGTGTGCATGTGCATTTGCAAGTGACAAATAGTTAGGTTAAAGTTCTAGCCTATAGGATTCCTCCAGCAGAGGTCTAGTGCCTCCTAAAGCTCACTGGGTTTTTTTCCTCAATGCAGGCCTCCGCCCATAAACAGTTCTATTCCAGATTTTAAATCTGGGACTAGATAGAGCATTGGATAAATCAGGAGGTGAGTGGTGGCCACATGTCCTTCCACTCCTGAAGTCAGTAAAAGGGGAAAAGCTCAGGGTATGTCTACACTTGCAGCCTAATTCGAACAAGGGCTGCAAATGTAGGCATTCGGAATTGCAAATCAAGCCCGGGATTTAAATATCCCGCCCTTGATTTGCATCTTCCCGGCCGGGCGCCATTTTTGAAATTTACAAGCCCGAAGTAACTGCCCATGTCAACACATGGCAGTGAAACGGGCATTCGAAATAAAGTCCTATTTCGAACTACCTGTTAAGCCTCATTGCAGGAGGAATAACAGGTAGTTCGAACTAGGGCTTTATTTTGAACGCCCGTTTCACTGCCGCATGTAGACACGGGCAGTTACTTCGGGCTTGTAAATTTAAAAAAAAAAAATGGCACCCGGCCGGGAAGATGCAAATCAAGGGCGGGATATTTAAATCCCGGGCTTGATTTGCAATTCCGAATGCCTACATTTGCAGCCCTTGTTCGAATTAGGCTGCAAGTGTAGCACAGATTCTGCAACAAGGCATCCAGTTCTCTTGACACTTTTAGTTCACTGGGCTTTTCTGAGCCAACCCCAAGTCTTCACAAGCCTTACAAGAGTTGTTGCTTCCTAAGGGGAATCTGCTTTTCTATAGAGCAGACAGGTTGTGTATAGGCCCTTGGAACTGGGGAGCAGCGGGTGGGCTCCTCCCCTGATTCTGCTGGCACCCATTCCTTAATACACCAACAAGCCCTATCTGTCCATCCTTTGAACCTTGGAAAGAGATCTCCAGTCCTTCAAACATTAGAAATGGGCAAGAGAACAGCTGTTCTCTAAATCTGAGAGAGAGATCCTAATGACCTAGACATTTGTAGGAATAGCACTCTTGTCTTGCAATCATTAGGGAGTCTGATACATTAGGACTCACTCCACAAAACAGTGCTTCAGGACCATGGTGACCAGCATATTAAAGGGTTATTCCCTTGCCTCGACATCTTCTGTGATCCGCTTAATAGGGTCTCCTTTCTTGTGGACTATCTAGAGTGTGCAGGAACAAGACTCCTGTCCCACAGACCACAGGGTCATCTTGAAAATTAAGTAAATTCCTCCAAACTTTAAGATCAAGTTCCAGGCATAATATCCTGGCTTGAGGATGCAGCTGCTAATATTAACTAAATAGTAGGTTAAACAGGAAATGCAGTCACTGAATTAAAAGCCACAGCATGAACTCTGTCCAGTATAGCTGCAAACATGTAGTAATTGTAGTGAATCAAAGTACTCTACAATTTCCTTTAAATAGGTATTAGAGTATTTGTTCATTTGGTATCTTTGCATGGAAAGTCAGTTAATAGAAGAAAAGTGTAATATGCATCGATGGGGTCATTTATGGAGTGTTGTGATCTGAGGACCACTTGTACAGCTCTTTTCAAACATCTATCCTTAATCTTTTGCATCTGATTCTGCATGGGAGAGAACTGTCTACAAATTAAAACGCAAATGATGTATTAAAGTGAAAGATGTATTCAAGTGATGTTCTGTTATTTATATTAAATGTTTGCTTTGAAGTAACTAATATAATTGCGAGTATCATGCTTCTGCCATTTCAAACTTCAAAGAGCAAGTGACCTCCCAATGATCAGTGACAGAAGACAAACCTAATTTTCTTGACTTAGATGGAAACTAAATGTATAGGGAAATGCATAGGGAATTAACTTGAATTCCATTTGGACCACAATGTTGTGAGCACCCATATTTGTAGCGGCCTGTTTTAGGTGATAGTCAAAATCTCATAGACATGAATATCTTCTCGCCTGCTGTAGAGTTTAAGTTATGGTGTTTTCAGAGTGTGTGTGACTTATTATGGAAGTCCAACCTTAACATTTTGGGGGGGTTCTGACATGTGCTTTGCTTAACCTTCTTGAAAGAGAAAATGTACGCTCTGAGCTGATATGTACCTGCAAACTTCATTTCAAAATGTTGGGGGGTTTTGGTGTGGAAATGAACTCCAATGCAGAAATACACCTTTAAGGAAAAGAACTTAAGTTTTAATTGAAATTTAAAAGCCTGTTTCTTTGTTGATGGTTAGACAATAGTTCTCATTTCCTTTGTGCTAAATCTTTACTCAAAGAATATGTTTATAAAAAGTCTTACCAACTCCTTTATTAAAGACCTGACACTGTTTCGGTATCTCTTTAGTGACAGTTTCTAAGTTGGGACTCTTCATCTTAAACAGTATTTTGCTTTTAGTAGGAGGCAGAGGCTTCAAACAGTCATGAATTTGAGGATTAAGAATTCAGAACCCATTAGACACCATAGAATTTTAAAGTTGAGGAAACTTTAAAATTTTAAATGTGTTCAGATTAAGTTGCTTTTACCAGTGATTAACTTAACTTGATACCTCTTAGATTTTCACTTAACTGACTTTTCTTGCACTAGAAAAATGGAATGGAATCTTATTTTTCTTTTTTAATACCTAAATTTGCCTCATGAGACTGCTAAGATGGTAGCTTTCTGTTAGATTGTCTTATGATATTCACTTACAGTGTTAATGACGTTCTCTGCTCTAATTAGATGTAGTGGTTAGCATGTAGTTTCAGTAACAGTTTAGTTTTCTTTTTAATCATGTCTGTTTTATAATCAGGAAATCTTACTCAGGTCCAGAACAAAAAAAGGCTTTGATTTTTTTCTTCAGATTGTTCCTGTCATACTAAGATTTACATAATCCAGTATTGATTTTTCCATATACATTTAATATGAATAATCTGTTTTCCTACCTTGATAGGGTCCATGCTTTGATCCAATTTCAACACTGTAGAGCTGTATTAATAATCACTGTTGAGTGGTTTTAACTCTGCTAGGCAAGCATTTTTATTTCTAACATGAAGTACAGCTCTTGACTGTGGTTTCTAAAGTCTTCAAAAGAAACAGAAATGACTGTTTCCCTTCTGTGTCAAAATCTTCATCACGATCTTACCAGTATCAGAAGATTGATCAGTCCTTTTTTCATTGCATCTTCTCATTTTAAAACTGTAGGCTGACATTCTAACTGTGTTGAGTGATGCTTCCTTTATAGATTCAAACAGATGTAAAGAGGGCATCTTAAAAATATTATCTATAGAGAACTTTTGTCAGCACCTTTTATTTGCTACATTTAATGTGGGAAAAAACTGAATTGTGCTAAAACCTGAAAATCTTTTTGCTGTCTCTTTTCTTCATGCATGGCTTGATGAGGCAGTCAGCTTCAGGTAAGATTACATTGCCAAAGTCCAATAACATGATTCTTACTTATTACATGCCTGTCTTCTCTCAACTACTCTGAATTCATAAATATAACTTCCATTAGCCTTGAATGATGTTTGTTTTTAATCATGGCCTTGGGATGCATTCCAGTGGTTAACACAAAGCATGCATTCTTTTTTCAAAATGTTTCTAATGCATGCTTTTTTACATAGTAGATGACAATATTTGCTTACATAAGCCTTCTGAGGTTCTTGATAGAGCTAGCTTTGAGAATGACAGGGGGTTGAAGGTGGAGACAATCTTTTTATGGTCACATGGCTACACACTTATGATTAAGATCTCTTCAAGCACCCTGTCTTGGCAGCAGTGAAAGTATGGGTAAGGCTATTATCACCCCAAGCATTTTAATGACCTTTCTCCTAATGTTTGTGGGTCTGCCAGGCCTAGTGTATTCCCAAGCCTTATCAGGCAAGAGTCCTGCAGAACCGCTGCATGAAGCAAACAGTTAGGCTACGTCTATATTGCGCCTCTCTTGCGCAAAAGCCTATGCAAATGAAGTGCGGTTTAGCATATTGCCACACTTCATTTGCATAATTAAGTAGGGGCGTTTTTGTGCAAAACCTCCCTCTTGCACAAGAGCCGTTCTTCCTGAAAAAATGAGGAAGAAGGGCTCTTGTGCAAGAGGGTTTTTTTGCATAAAAAGGAGCCCTCTACACAGCTCCTTTTTGTGCAAAAGCTTCTTGCGCAAAAACAGCCCCTAATTAATTATGCAAATAAAGTGTGGCAATATGCTAATCCATGCTTCATTTGCATAGGCTGTTGTGCAAGAGGGGTGCAGTGTAGATGTAGCCCTAGTGTCCTACAAATACAGCTGGAGCAGAAGAGAGGGAGCAAAGTGAGGCCTGTTATCACCTTTGTAGGCAGGAAAGCCAATCCTAGCACTTGAAAGAAGAACTGGGATTTAACCAGTGGTGCCCTTCCTCACAAAGAAGGGCTTTACTGACTGGCAATGGCTGTATCATACTAAAGGCTGTAACTCTAGCCCAGCATTTCTTAAACTGTGTTCTGTGGCGCACCGGTGTGCCGCAAGGCAGTTGGAGGTGTGCCGCAGAGACATGGTGCCCATACGTCCCTTTTTTTCCAGAACAGTCCCGGATTTAAAGACACCCAGTGCTAGCGCGGCGCAGCAGCAACTCCCGGCCCCCCCCCCCCAGCATGTAAGCGGCTCCCTTGGTGCTTTGTGTGAGCAGCCAGGGGGGGCTCCCAGTGACACGCAGTGTCCAGAGCTCCAAGCTCCCATGCAGCACGGGCAGCTGTCTGGCAAGCTCCTCCCTTCACCCCATAGCCCTTCCATCCCTCTGCGGGACTGCCTCTGCCATGCACCGCCAGCCCAACCTCCTCCATCCACAGGTGGCTGTCCCTGCTGCCGAAGGGGGAAGGGCACTGGTTGGAGCCAGTGAGCTGCTGCTGAGAGCTTCCACCAGAGTCCCGGCAGACACCGTGCAGAGCCCAGCTGGAGTGCTGCAGAGCGGGGTACATTCGGGCTCCTCCGGTGTGCTCTGTGCATGGCCCTTTCTCCCCACGCCCCTTCCCACTCCGCTGGGGGAGTGGCAGTGCACAGACCCGCTTGCTCTGCCGCGCTCTGCAAGCCAGATCTGGGAGGGTGAGGTTTCCCCTCCCCATGCTCCTCCTAATGGCAGTCAAAGCTGGTGCGGGGACTGGAATGCTGCACTAACATTAGCACCAGGGGCAGCCCAGCTCCAGGACTAGCAAGCGGTCCTGCCTTGGAAGCAGCTGGGGCCAGGGCTGCAGAGACTTCTGGGGCCCAACCAGAGACTCCAGCCCCAGAAACTGGAAGGCAAAATGTGGGGGAGGGGCTCGGAGAGAACTAGGGGGTGGTAGAAGAAGGGGCTTGAGCTGAGGGGAGGGAGACAGGGCAGGAGAAGAAAGGGGAAGGCACCAGGGAACGGTGGAGGAGTGACAAATGCCAGAGGGCCAAGTGGAGACAATGAGGAAAAGGGCAGGAAGAGGGAGTAAAATGAGGAAAAGGGCAGAAGGAGTGTGGGGAGGTGTCGGTGGGGGTAGGAGCATGGAGGGGACAAGGTGATGTTGGGAGAGGAGAAGAGAAGGGCACTGGAGGCAAGAGGAAGCAAGGGGAGGGGGAGGTGCTGGGAGAAGGGTTGAAAGGTGCATGAGGAAGGTGGGGTTGGAGCAAGTCATGTATGAGGGCACAGAGGAGCATGAGAGGAACTGGGGCAAAGGGTGGGGAGGGGATGGGCATCAGGGGGAAAGGGGGCAGTGGGAAGGAGGAAGCACCAGGAGTAAGGGAGGTGCAGGTGCCACAGGATTCTGGGGCTGAAGCAGAAGGGCAGACATCTGCAGGGAGGAGTCCAGCACCAGAGGAGAGAGGGTTCGGTGGGGGCCAAACTCATCCCCTATGAGTAGGAGGATGGTGGGAAAAGTTCTAAGAGGGGGTTACTTTTACTTCTGATCATGTGTCCATCTTAACCCTGAGAGTCAAGGGCATAGTAAACAGAGGTCAGGGCGTGTAGGTAATGTGTCCTTAATTTTGGTTCAGAGAGCAGAGTTCAAAAGGCCACCCTTAAAAGGGGGCAAGCTTCCTTCCCCCCCCAAAAAAAATCCTCGGTGTTCCCCATTAAAAAAAATTGTTTGGTGTTCCTCGGTCTTAAAAAGTTTAAGAAACACTGCTCTAGCCCTTATCCTGGAAGGGCCCACTCTCTTTCCTCCAAGAGGAAATGATCATATGGTCACAGATGGGACTGGAAAACCTAGTTTTTATTCTTGGCTCCTTGCCCAGATTTGTGAGCGTGACAAATCACGTAGTTTCTATTTGTTTCATTTTTCCAAATTATAAACTAGAGAATATTGCTTTCTTGTGAGACATGCTGAGCCTCGGTTCAATACCTGTAAAGAACTTTAAGAGTCTGTAGATCCTCAAACTGATAGTACCTGTATCTTTACATTTTACGTTTTTAAATTGGTACCAGTCTCTCTGATCCCCACAGACCTCATGCAGGTCCTGCTAAATATCCCGTCACTTACTGAGTGAACCCTCAGCCCATAGCAGCTTCACTGGGTGTGGGAAAGGCCTGGAGGAGCTGTGCAACATATGTCTCAATGACAAACACCTATAGGCGTATAGCTTGTACACCTACTGAGTAGTAAATACCTAAGCACTCTGTTAGCATGGTAAAATACATAGCCTTGACATTTGAACAGAGACACCTTTAAGGTTATCTCTTAAATAGTAGCTGATTTAAGGATTTCAGTTTTCTAACAATCACACGCTTCTAGACAAGAATGAAATTGATGGTACAATTCAGATGATTTCTTACTTTCTTCAATTAAAAACCAATAAATTATATTGAAATATTTTTTGTTTCACAATTAAAACTTGCTGGGTTTTATTCCATCTAGAAGATTTTGAAATAGACTAGTGCAGTGACATTTCACATTAGGCCATTTGGGGTCACATCACAATATTCACATTTTTAACAAGTTTAAAGAGGCTTTGGGACTTTTGGAAGCTCAAAGTTTGTATTGCTGAAAGTGAATCCAGAATGGCAGACTAAGCTTTTCAGGGTGAAATCCATCTGCCAGGTTTGAAAGTGCCTGTTTCATACACAATGCAGAGTTTGGTTAGTATTAGAGGCTAGAAAGATCCTGAGGAGAGGCAGCTTATCCAGATTTGAGTTCCAGATTTGGGATGGAACAAATTTTGGCCAGTTTTATATTTTCCACCAACTGGCTTGCCCAGCCACAGTTTGTGTCTGGGTGACCACCAGTGCTTGCAAATACTGCTACTTAGTCCTATTTAGCGTAGTTAAATACAGGAAATGTTTGGGATTGTCCATGTTATGAAATATTGCCACTTAACATGCAAATAGGCCTTTATGAATCAGTTTTTCACTAGGTAGAAGTATTTGAAAAAAGTTACCAATTTATTATACTGCCTATGTTCGTCTATGCCATATCTCTTTACACTTTTTGACACAACACGAGGTATAACTGCAATACAGTATAAGATGCACTCAAAGTGTTGGCTTTATGTGGGTAAATTTTATTGAGCAGTTGGACTCTTTGCAGATAAGAAGTGGGAAATAGAAGATGTGAAATGTACCTTCAAGCCTGGAACCAAAGCATATACGTTCTCTCCACCACACACTATGGACACTTTGTAGGTTAAAGCTGCAGCCTCTTTACACAGTTTTCATTCTATGTTCAGGCCACTAAAGTAACTGTGGATCTTAAGATCTAGGCCTGCTCCCAGTCCCACTCTTTGCCATTTTGTGTGGTGTCTCTGAAGAACGCCATCCCGTTTGCAAACAAGTGTGCCCTGTTTGCTCTTCCCCACTGAAATGTGGGATCTTTGCACTAGGATGAATTCCACACACCCCAAGATCTCTGCAGTGTTAAAGTAGGGTTTGTTCAATGTTCTGTACAGTTCAGTCTTTCTAATCAAAGCCTTCTGTTTTTAGATTTTTGCCCTCCCACCATTCTCGTGGCCTTTGTGTTGCAAGTAACTATTTGTCTAACAGAGCAAAACTTGAGGCATGTTTAGGAGCCTTTTAGGTTCCCTAGATATCTACAAAGCAGGTATGCTCTTTCTGCATCCATGGTTTTTGAGCACGAAGCCATCTCTGCAGTTGTCACTGACCCCTAAATATTGACTGACTGACTAAACTGATCTTGGCAAAATTCTAAGAACCAACCTCCCAAACACTTTACAACAGCTAAGATTAGATTCTCTAAGTTATGCTGAGCAAGTCACTTTTTTCCTTTCTTCAAAATAGCTTCAGACAGTGGTCATAAAAGCTAATCACAACAGTTGAATATACTTGAAATGCAAATATTAAGTAAGTTTTACCAGTGTTACAACCAGTTTTGTTTTGTAAGATATTTCTCTTTTAAATGGAGAGTAGTCTGGTATACTATGTGAGGAAAGGTAAGTTTCAGAGCAAGAATGCCATTTAAAACCTCAATGTTCATTGGAAGTTGAATGGAAGGGAAAGACGTTCTTCATCTTTCAAGGTGGAGAAACTCAATTGTATTGCTCTTGAATGCTGTTTACTTGCTCTTCCACAAAACATTGGCAGCCACCCCTGACAGAGCTTTCTTCTTTGTGTTTCCTAATTTAATGACCTGCACAAAATACCCCTCCTGAGATGATACATAAAAGGAAATAAAGAAAAGTAGTTACTGTCCAGTAATACTCCACATTTGTAGTACAGTAAAACTCCAGTTGTCCGGGATCCAGTGATCTGTCACTCCCGATAGTCCGACACCAACTGGAACCTGGAAGTGCTCTGGCCAGCCAGACAATTGGAGCTGCTCCGTGCCGCTGCCCCAAAGCTGCTGCTGCTGCTGAAACTGACCCATGGTGGACTTGGGGAAGAGGCGCAGAGCAGCTGGGGTGCTGCCAGGTTGGTCCCGCAGCACTGCCCCTTACCATCGTGCTCAGCACCCGGCAGCACCCCAGCTGCTCTGCTCCGTGCTGCAGCCGCTGACGAAGGGACGGACCACCCCAGCAGCCCCCCAGCTGCTCTATCCCACGGCTTCCCCAAGTCACCACTGCTGCTTTCAGCCCCTGCTGGCCTGTCGCTGGCAGCTGCGCGGGGCTTCCCCTGCCTCCCTACAAAACAGTGGAGGGTTTGCCCCAGGCTGCACAGTTCCCTGCCGACCCCCTCCCCTCCCCCAGACCCCTCACAGCCCCCCTTCCAGAGTACCTCCTGATACTCCAGCATATCTGATAATCTGGCCCCAAGTCACCACTGCTGCTTTCAGCCCCTGCTGGCCTGTCGCTGGCAGCTGCGCGGGGCTTCCCCTGCCTCCCTACAAAACAGTGGAGGGTTTGCCCCAGGCTGCACAGTTCCCTGCCGACCCCCTCCCCTCCCCCAGACCCCTCACAGCCCCCCTTCCAGAGTACCTCCTGATACTCCAGCATATCTGATAATCTGGCACCCCTTGGGTCCCAAAAGTGCCGGATTATCAGAAGTTTACTGTATATTCTCATTGAGGATGTCCAGAGACACCAGATTTATCCTCAAAAACCAGAGGCATTTGTATATACAATCCAAAAATGTTAGTAGCATTAGTCTTCACTTTTTGGTACACCTTAAAAGGGCCTTATTTCCAAAGTGCAGAGCATGTACTCAGCCCTCTTTCTAGAGTGTCGTCTTGGACATTCAAACTCTAGTCACTCTTGGCAATCTTGGTCCTGCTTGCATTTAGAAGTCATTGAATGTCAAGGATACTTATTTCCCAGACATGTTGGTTTTTATTCGTATTGCTTGACTCTTCACCTGTGATTAAATGTTAACTTTTGTTTTTTACAGATCAGGTGCCTAAAAGGACAGAAAGGCTTCTCAGGCCAACCCACTTTTGATGGCATTCACATTGTCAACCATTTGATAGGAGATGATGAGTCATTTCATTCTTCTGATGAAGATTTTATAAATCACTCCATACAGGAGGGTGGGATCCATTTTCATTTACCTAGGACTGGACAGATGACTTTGGACCCAACTGTGGTAGATAGCAGTGAAAGTGATACTGAAGAAGGTGGCCTGGATACTGGGGATTCAGACAAGATTATTCCAAAGCGAAAGAATCAGCAAAGAATGGACTCCTATTCTACTACTGTGTGATCGTCACTGTGACTAGCATCTAAAACTTTAGATTTTTTTTTAAGGGTTAGGTTGTCAAATGACTAAAGATGCCCACCTCTTGGAATAGTGGCTTGTCTGATACATTTTATATATAATATATGTATATATGTATGTATACACACACAATTTACTGTTTGCCTTCTACCTTTGCCAAATCTTCATCGCTGACATACCATAGAGTAGACTGGGCAGAAGTTGATGGATGACCGTTCTAACAGTATTACTGAATGTTCCTTATTTTAGAAAATGCAAATATATAATTTCTTTAAATATAAAATAACCATTTTGCAGTTCATAAACTTGGGAAATCTTTTTTTCTTCAAAAGAAACTGCTCTTGTGCAATATTTTTGTGCTCAGTGAACAAATGTGTTCTTTTTACCTTGTTACCCATTTGTGATCAAAATGGACATTAGACAGGTTGATCACGATGCATGTCTGATTTGTTTTTTGTTTGATATATGTTTGGTTTTAATTAAAAATAATCAATGGAGACCCCTAAAAGGCTCCAAACACACACCTTTATTTCTTCCGCTTATAAATACAAATTAATGATCACACCTGTCCAAAATGTTTTTAAAATCATTCTGAATTTTAAGTTTTGTGTATCCAGTTTGGATGTGTTGCTAAAACCTGGTCAAAGAATGTTTACTATGAAGTTTATTTTGTACATGTTTCTATCTCTCTGCAGCAAACTGAAAATGTACATTATGCATTTTATATGAGTATAAATGTTGCAAAATAACTAAACTTGGCATTCTAACAGGAAAATGAATTCTGTATATAAATATTGGTAGTGAAATACAAAATAAGGGCGAAACACTAATCTTAGATTTAATCTCTGTTTAGCTACTGACACTATAGCAGGTTCATGTCTTGTTCCAAATTACTATTGACTGAACTTTTAACTCCATATATGTATAACTAATAAATTTTTGATTTAACAAGATTGGTAATATTTACTGCTCAGAAATAACTGTCGGTATCCTAGAGATTGTGTAGGTGATTACACAGTATAGATCCAGAGAGTAGTTCAGATAAAGATGGAAAGTATTGTTATCTGGTTTTAAAATAACCAAATATAGGGATCTGTTTTTACTGCACTGAAAAATGCTTCATTGGAACTGTAGTTAGTTTGAAGAATTTCATTACAAGGATATCTAAAAACCAAAAAACTACTAGTCTGGGCCTCTAATGAAGACACACCTACTTTAAAATGGAGCTATGACTTCAGTGAATGTAATCAAGAAGTGATAGGAATAGTAGGAGGAAAAACCACATAAGGAAAATGGATTTCAAGAAAGCAAGGCAGACTTTATTAAACTCAGGGAGTTGGTAGGTGAGACCCCTTAGGAAGCCAATCTAAGGGGAAAAACTGAGATTTGGCAGTTTTTCAAAGAGACGTTAAGGGCACTAGAGCAATCTCATTCTGGAAATGTGTCAAGAAACTACTTTTGTTTAGCCAGGCAATCCTCAATTATCTGAAATTAAAAAATCCATACAAAAAGTGGAAATTGTATCCGATTACAAAGGGCACATAAATGAGTAGCACAAGTATGTAGGGACAAAATTAGGTCAAGTCACAAAATGAACTTAAACTAAGTAGAGACATAACATGTAAAAAGAAAACATTCTGCAAATGTGTTAGAAGCAAGAGGAGGACCTAAGAGAGGTTAAACTCATTTTTCGGGGGAGGGGGCACCAGTGAAAATGAGGTAGGATTAGAGGATAAAACGGGAAGAACAAGTTAAAAATTCCTTATACAAGTTAAATGCCTGCAGTTCACCAGGGCCTGATGAAATACATCATAGAACACTCCTAGAGCTGAATGAGGAGATATTTCTTAGCTTTGAAAAATCATAGAACATGGGTGAGATTCTGAGGACTGGGAAAAAATGCCTATATAATGCCAAGCTATAAAGGTGACGAAGGGCAACCTGGGGAATTAGAGACTAGTCATCTTAAATTCAGTACTCAGAAAGGTAATGAAGCAAGTAAGTAAGCAATCATTTTGCAGACATATAGGATATAATAAGGTGATAAGTAATAGTCAATGTAGATTTGTCAAGAACAAACCATGTCAAACCTAACATAGTTTATTTAAGGTAATGCGCCATGTGTATAGAGGGAAGCAGTAGATGTGGTATATCTTGATGTTAGAAAGGCTTCTGATATTGCCTCGTATAATCTCATAAACAAATTAGGGACCTATAACCTAGATGGAGCTACTATATGGAGGGTGCATAACTCGTTGGAAAATTGTTCCCAGAGTAGTTTTCAGTGATTCACATTCAGTCTGGAGGGGCATATCAAGAAAGGTCCCTCAGAGATCAGTTCTTGGACTTGTTCTGTTAAATATCTTCAGCAATGATTTAGATAATGGCATAGAGAATACGCTTACAAAGTTTGTGGAGGATACCAACCTGGGACAGGAGGGGGTGCAAGAGCTTTGGAAAATAGGATTAAAATTCCAAAAGATCTGTATAAACTGGAGAAGGAAATAGGATAAATTGAATAAGGACAAATAAAAAGTACTACATTTAGGAAGGAACAAATACAAAATGGGAAATGACTGCTAGGAAAGAGTACTGTGGAAAGAGGTTAGGGGGCATCATAGTGGATCACATGTTAAATATGAGTCAACAGTATAACACTGGCAAAGAAAAGCAAACTTCATTCTAGAAGTGGTGTAAGTAGAGTTGCTAATTTTGGTTGGCTGTATTCACAACATCGCATGGCAATCTTTAGTTAAAACTTAATCTTTATTTCCTGGAGAATCTTTATTTCCTGGAGACTCTAGGCTAATCTTGGAGGCTTGGCAACCCTCGTTTTATGAAAAACACAGGGGCTACGTCTACATTGGCCCCTTTTCCGGAAGGGGCATGCTAAATTTTCAGATTGTAATAGGGAAATCCGCGGGGGATTTAAATATCCCCCGCGGCATTTAAATAAAAATGTCCGCCGCTTTTTTCCAGCTTTTAGAAAAGCCGGAAAAGAGCGTCTACACTGGCCCCGATCCTCCGGAAAAAGCGCCCTTTTCCGGAGGATCTTATTCCCACTTTGAAGTAGGAATAAGATCCTCTGGAAAAGGGCGCTTTTTCCGGAGGATCGGGGCCAGTGTAGACGCTCTTTTCCGGCTTTTCTAAAAGCTGGAAAAAAGCGGCGGACATTTTTATTTAAATGCCGCGGGGGATATTTAAATCCCCCGCGGATTTCCCTATTACGATACCTGAAATTAACATGCCCCTTCCGGAAAAGGGGCCAGTGTAGACGAGCCCATATACTAGACATACTATATTAAGGAGGGAGAGAAGCAACAGTAAGGTAGCATGAACCCTAGGACTGCTCTACTAATTCTTTTCTGCTCCACATACTGTGTCCAGTTTTGGGTACCATGTTTCAAGAACAATATGGACAAATTGGAGAAAATCCAGAAAAAAGCAACTAACATGGGTTTGTTTAGAAAAATTGATCTGTGAGAAGATTGAAAAATGGGATTTGTTTAGCCTGGAGAGAGAAGATAGAGGATCTGATAACCATTTCCAAGTACATAAAAGGTTGTTGCAGGAAGGGAAGAAAAATTGTTCACCTTAACCTCTGGGAATAGAACAAAAAGCAATGGGCTTGAACTGCAGCAATGGCAGTTTTGGGTGGCCATTGGGATAATTGACCTAACTGTCAATGATGGTTAAGCACTAGAATAAATTGCCTAGTGACAAAAATGCCAGATTTAGGCATAAGATAACAGCCACAATTTAAGGCCTCTAAAAAAGAAAAAAAATCAAATTAAAGAATTATTATAATTAATAAAGGAAATATGTGGAAAAGATTCAAACTATAGACCTTTTCTTTCAACCGTGACAAAAATATACCCATTTAGCTACACAAATACCTTTACCCTAACCTTACCCTTCACTAATTGGTCATTGTTGTCAGGCAGGTGGTCAGGGCTCAGAAAAAATATGATAATTGCATTGGTAATTAGTATTTCCCCAAGTAAGTCTGCTATTATAAGTCAGCATTTTGTTGGCCAGCTGCAACTGGTAAAATTCTGACCATGTTGGCATCAATTATTTAAATTAATAAGCTCACTCACTGCTGATAAAATTGCAGGAGAGGGGGTCAGAGATGGCAGTGTCATGAATAGGGATGTAAAATCCCATTTAAAACGTTAACCTGTTAAATTATATGTTTAACCCATTAACCAGTGCCCTGCAGGCAGGGGGTTACCCTGGCACAGCTGGGCTAGGGAAGGGCCCGCCACACTAAGCCATAGACAAGAGGCTGCTGTGGCCTAGGCAGGCAAGGCCCACCACACCACTGATGGGGGGCTGCTTTGGCTGGACTGGGCACCAGTTAACTGATTACCTGGGTAAGCATGCTGGTAAGGCAATGCTTACTGGTAACGGGTTAACCAGTTACCCCTTAAAATCCCTAATTGTGAAGCAATTCCGCCCAAGCTCATACTCATCTGGGAACTCATCCTAGGATTGATGTATATTGTCCCCCTTGGTTGGTAACAGCTGGAAAGCCACCATCTTTTGTTTACGGTCCAGCACGTTCAGTTGTATAGTGCCTCCACTCCTGATTTTCTTAAACGTTAGTGTGTTCTTTTATCTTTTGATCTGTACATACATACAGTTGAGTATTTTAGTGCACACGCCACCTTTTTGCTCCATGCACTATCTGTGCTTCATGTGAATGAGTTTGCAGATGGTCATCTTATGGACGTGGCTCAAGTGGTTCTTAAGCAGAATACATTTGTATTTGTGTTCCTCTGGCAAAAGAAAAATCCCAACAATTCATTGTTTCATAGCAAAAATTAAATCAGAATAAACATTAGTAAATTTATTGTATTTATAGTATAAATAAATTTTGTATTTCCCTAACAATGAATCAAATGGGTTTTTTCATTTCATATGAAAAATAAGATGATTTTCCTTATTCATGGTGTAAAAAATTATATATTCTCTCTTGTCCTGTGAGAATATTAAGTTTTGATGTTTGTATATTCAATGGCCTTTTTTGTGAAAATTTCATTTTTAATGGTATGGGCCCTCTTAAATGTAATATAGCTGAGGGGCTCAGAATGCCATAATCCGTTCCTGCCTAAGAAAGTTGTGGAATC